ATATATATATATGCCTGTTATCATAATTATTTGCTACTGTATGAACAATCAAATATGTTAACTCTGCAGCACAAAGACAATTTTCTATTGCCTTGCCCATTTTTATTCCGGTTTGTTTGTTTCATGTTGATTTGTTTGGACGAGTGGTTGGTGGGTGCTCTGGTGTGGTCTACTCCTTCTATTCCCTGGTGTCGATTAGTGTCGCCAGTGCCTTAAAAAACCAATAAACAATCAAGCCCGCCGGTCAGTGCACAGGACAGTGAAGAAAAATCCCAGGAAAACACAGCACAGTCGACAGGTACTGTGGGTTTTATGTTACTTTGGGCACATATTATAAGCCTTTTCAGGGACAACCAAGAAAAGGAGATAGTGCTAAATTTAAGTTTATATGAGTGGAAGGATCAGAAAACGACGATGGCAAGGTGAGAAAGAAGGAGAAAACCACACCAAAGACCTCTAGGCCAGAAAACTCACAAATAACCAACAGAGTCGAGACAAATCAGGTTTCTATGATAATTTAATCTGATTTAATTAATGTGAAACAACAACAATAGAATCCAACCATAAGCAGAATAAACGACGTTCGAATACTAGATATATTCAAAATTAGGTTTACGATTCACACAAAAATGGACTCGATTACCTACCTTGAGAAAGTTCTGCCCCGCCTCATTAGGTCTAGATCTAAGAAAGCGACGTTCTAGAACTGAGAGAGCGAGCTGATTTTAGACCCAACTTTCTGTGAAATATGAAGGCTTGAGCAACATAAGTGTTACCCAGTTGAACCCTCGACGCATATATATCTACAAAACTAGTTGCCGCCATCTTGGATGGTAAAGCATTTCGATTCCAGCCGTGGGTTCGAATACTTGGGGTCTTTTGTTACCCAACAGCGTACGGAATGGATTAACGAGTAAATTTTTTCTTTGGAAAGTGGGGGCCCAGAGTACCCCTCGTCGTATGGATACGATAGTAAAACACGACGTACGGATAGGGTTAAATGCTTGAATTTACTGTGGGCATGTGCTCAGAAGCTATACTTGTTTGGTTGTCTCACCAGGCATGTACATCCTACCCTCAGTCTATCTCCATCCTCCTATAAAATTATCCCCTCCAGACAACTACATTACTCTCTCTGGTGCTCTTAGTCTGAGTTTACCACAGGTTCTGCTGCCTTTCATTTCTCATACTCATATATTAATCTTCATGGTTTGACCTTTGAATTCCTTTGACCTTGTAACTGCACGTCTCTGCAATTTTAATAAAAGGTTACTTTTCGCGTTCTTCGTTTCTACTTTCTCTCTCTCTCTCTCTCTCTCTCTCTCTCTCTCTCTCTCTCTCT